GGCTGACTTGAATACGTCCAGCCCCTCCAGAAGCTCCCTAAGTCCTCGCTAACCCTTGGCCCAGGTGTGCCTCCCCCAGGGCCCAAAGGGGGCCCAGCTGGGAGGTTGCTGTTCTGGTCCCTACTTAGGAAGACGGAGACAAAGAAATCGTTAAACATGTTAGCTTTGTCATCTGGTGTGATGACCAAGTTTCCCAACGTGTCCTGCAAGGGCCCCACATTACCTGGGACCTTCTTTTTACCCCCTATGTATTTAAAAAAAGACTTCTTATTGTCCTTAATCTGTAAAGTTGTTAGTCTGGTTATAGGAATCCCCCAAGCCCTCCCAGCTTCTAATATGCATATACAGAATAATTCCTGGAAACGAGAGTGAAGCCGTTTTCTTGGGTGCTGTTATGTTTCAATGCGCATTGCTCTCCGGTGGACGGCAGCAGGTCAAGTTGGCTGTAGAGGGTTCTGTCACTTTGCTGCTGCTGTCACTACTTTCACCAGGGGGCTCCTGAGAAAACAGAGGATGAATCTGGCTAGTTTCTTTCTCCCTGAAAACTGTCCATAACTCCCATCCCAACCAGGGAACGGTCCACCCATTAGTACATCTGTGTGGATTAGCAGATCAGCCTCGATCAACTCTGCTTCTCTTCTGCCTACGAGAGAGGACCTGCCACAAGAAGGAGCCCAAGAGCAGCATTACTCCAACATAAGGTCCGTAGTTATCCCTAGTCTATGCTCAGGCCTAGCAAGACTTGCTTTGGAGTGATTTACCCTAGTTGTTGAATGGAGGACAGGCATAGAGACACCTGAGCTTTATTGTTGTGGTTCATTAGAAGAGGTACAAAGCTGGGATCTGGTACTGTCAGTCCTAGGGGCTTGGAAAGCATCCTGCTAGAATATACCCAACATGATCCCCTGGGGCCAACCTCTGCTGAAGCCCAGTTTGGACCACCGCAGTCTGAAACACCCAAAATTAGTCCCTGCTTTGGAAAAATGTGGTTGCACGTGGCTTTCCCAAGGTCTCACTGCTGGTCAGTGGCAGAGTGGGGAATGGGGACCAGAAATCCACTGGACATTTTACTAAAAGCAAGTCAGTCGTATCTGAGCTGCTAACATCTTCTCTGGGTTTCAAAAGCTGAGGGTTTTTTGTTGTGGATTTGCATTTGTGCCATCTGTGACACACATGAAGCCCCTGGTTGTCCGTAAGCATGAGGGAATACTATGCTTGATCCTTCACAGAGCAGGGGGATTCATGAGATGACCCCTTGGGATCCCTTCCAACTCTAC